TGATTTGCAAATAGATCTTGACTTTAACACTTACTTCTACCAAGCCCGCCTATATAATCATTTGAATAATTGATAAAGCGTTCATTAAATACATTTTACAAACAGATTCATTCATAGATCTTGACTTTTAACACTTATTTCGATTCAATAATTGATAAACGTTCATCAATATATTTTACAAACTTGCTTTGGAAGTTTCGTATGTCGTCCTATGTCTTGTATTTAACAGTTTACTTTTTCTGCTTAATTTTATTTTTTTTAGATTACACAAATAAAAATTATGGAATAAATTTAATCCAATGAAATGTTGTTATCCCATAAAAGAATAAATTTCAATTGTTAAAAAAATCAATTAAGCTTTTTTTCTTAATTAAAAGAAAAAAGATCCTTCGCAAAGAAGAACCCTCGTGTGAATCAAAAGCCATTTGCGAATTTCGATTGTTAAAATCTTTCGTCCTGATCTTTTCCTCGTGTTTTTTTTTTGTCTATCGCTATTGAAGAATAAGCTTCATGCAAACATCAAAAATTTCGATTATTTTAAAAAAAATCAACTAAGCTTTTTTTTTTTCTTAATCAATTGACATATTTTATTTGTTTTTCCCGAAAGGAAATTTTTTCATTAATCAACGATTTTATTGTTTTCTCCAAAAGGAAATCAGATCATCCACTATCCTTCAAATGGTCAAAATCAAAGTTTTTTCTTATCCAGATCACCCACTATCTCTCTCAAATGGTCAAAATCCAAAAAAAAATTTTAATTCAACACGAACAATCAAAAAAAATTTGCAAATACTGTTTTGTTTATCGATCATTTTTTTTAAATCGACAAAACGAAATAAAACGTTTTTGAACCCCAGTCTCGTGACCAGAAAATATCACTAACACGTTGTGCGACAAGCCTTTGACGATCCAAGGTAAAGGTTCCAAGACAAGACCATCAGTTTTTGGTCATTTTGAACAGTCCGAAACGTCGGAGCAAGACGAATAACTAACGGTAGACAGCGGTTGACACCACACAAAAAACATCTAAAGCGAAACACGATTTCCTTTTGGTCAAATATCTGTTTCGCTCAACCCCGACGTTTTGAACCAAAACAGATAAGTTTTTCAGTTACACAAATCATGACAAGCAGATAACAATTGAGATTTACACGATACGGTGACATAAAATTACCACAACCATTTATCATTCATTTTTTTGGAAAACGAAAATATTTCTGTTCAAATTTCAATTTTATTAACAGTTAAAAGCTGGCTGTATAGTTTATAACCATGTGGAGAAGTAGTCCCATGGGTAGCTACAGCCTGCAGCGGAGGTGTGGTCTATATCCATGCAGAGATGTAGTCCCATGGGTAGCTGCATAAATGTAACAAAGCTATCCAAAGAAATTTTATACTTCGAATTGTTTCTGGAAATGTATTGCATTCTGTTTCTCATTTCCTGGACCATGAATAGTTATATAATGTATTTGTTTTTCAATTGTTCTTGTTACAGAAGCTTTATCCATAGTGAGTTTGACAGCTTTCCATGCCTTATGGTATTGAAGAACATCCAACCTTCACAAGGAGTATTTAGAAAGTAGCTAAATCCAGGCCTTCCAGTGTCTGATAACATTATTGCAACAAATATGTCACTGTGACTTGAACTAAAATCTTAAGAACGTAACTTTTCATAAACAAATTATAAGAATTAGAAATATTGAAAGTCATGTTAATTTCCTTAGAAAAGGAATCATGCAAGTAATAAGTTATAACAAAAAAATAAATCAAGGTTTACCAATTACAAATTAAACAATAATAGAACAAACAGGAGCTGCAATCCAGGATTGAAATTACTTTTTATAAAAGTTATGGGAAAATTAATTGGTTAACTAGATCCATTTTTTTTTTTTTTTTGAAAAAATAATAATGTAATAATATAATGTATTTTTTTTCCTTACTAGTCGTGTAACTAGATTCGTTTTTTTTTTGAAAAAGAAAAGTAATTAATATTATATAATAATAAAATAATAATGTAATATAATATAGTTTATATAATAATAATATATATAATAATAATATATAATGATTTTTTTTTTCCTTACTAGCTGCGTAACAAGATCCGTTTTTTTTTTGAAAAAGAAAAGTAATTAATATTATAATAAAAATAATAATGTAATATAATATAATTTATATAATAATAGTCTATATAATGATTTTCTTTTTTTCCTTACTAGCCGCGTAACAAGATCCGTTTTTTTTTTTGAAAAAGAAAAGTAATTAATATTATATAATATAATTATATAATAAAAATATATATAATGATTTTTTTTTTTCCTTACTAATCGCGTAATAAGTGTTCACTAGATCGTTTTTTTTTTGAAAAAGAAAAGTAATTAAAATAAAAAAAAATTTATTTGCCTTAGTACTGTAGTACGTGAAAATGAAATTATGTGAAATTCGAAAAATTGTTAATTTCCCGCTTGCGTAACAATAATTTTTTTAAACAAAATAACTGATTTTTTGTTTTTTGCCTTCAGTGAATGAAAAATGAAAAAATAACTGATTTTTTGTTTTTTACCTTCAGAGAAATGAAAAAACTGATTGATTTTTTGCAGCCTGCATGCTATAATTAAAATATTTCTCAGATAATAACGTATAGTTAAAAAAAATATTGGCAGGAGAATTTTTATAGTTGATTAATTTTTTACATAAAGTGAAAAATAAAGTGAACCTTTACATATTTGATCTACAAATACATTTTCTACAACAAAACGATTACTTTTGTTTTCAATTCAACACCCAAATTTTACAAAAAATTCCTTCCCAAAAAAATATTTTAGTTCTAAACAGAATGCATTAATTCGAATTCAATTCTGAATCCAATTCAATTCCGAATCCAATTCAGAATTCTTATCCATATTCATTAAAATTGAACCGCGTTTTTTATTTTTTTTACCTGAAGATCTACTTTGTTGATACTTTATTAACATAAAAAATTACACAAATTTTGATATATGAGGCAAATGATAAACGTATTAACCCTTTTTATTGAAAAATTCGATAAATATGGAAAGTTACATGCATCAAAACTATTAGCCCGAAATTTATTATATGTTAACAAATTTCAAATCAATTTGCAAATCATTTCAAGCCAGCGCAGCAAAGAAAAAAAAACGACTCATCACAAAGTTTTACCCTTTGATTTTGATCTCATCCTTCCAAAAATTTGGTTTACTAAAGTTGAGAAACAGGACGTTTAGAATATTCGTGCTGATTCGTGCTGATTCGTATCGTAACTGAACTGAACAGAACAGAATATTCTTTAAAAATGAATTATTTCCTGTGCAACCAAAAATTTCAAAATTGGGCAAAGTCGTTAGATTAGGGAAACATACAAAAAATAAAAAAAAAAAGGGGAAATATTACACAAAATATAAAAATCTACACAAAAATTACGACGTTTAGTAGGGCACGGCAACCTTTTCTTCTTTTATATATTATATGTTAATTCAGTATTCAATGAATCAATATTTCAATGAATCAATGATGCTGAATGCTGATTACTGAGTAGCTGAGAAACTACTTTTTTAAAACATAATTTTTGGGGAAGCATGAGGTTAAAATTTCAAGGTGTTTGTTATTGAAAATGCTTTTTGAATGTCTGGGTATTGATTCATGAAAATGATCATCGCCTTTAAAAAAGATTAAAGATGAACTCGAATTCAACCATGTAAACTATTGCTATTACCCATGTCAATGTTGTGGATTAGATGATCTGCCTTTTGTTGCTGTGTTCAACCAAACCAAGTAAAACTGGGGTTTGAAATTGTACTTTGAAAATCCGGTTTTTCCAATTTGCTCTTAAAAATCTCTTAATTTAACCAAAAAAAAGACCAAGTTCTTATGAATTATTATCAATTTTATATTATTAGCATAAGGAAATCGAAGATAAAAAAGACACTGAATTCACCCAACAACTGCAAGAAGTGGAAACCTACAACCAAAACTTGCCCCAAGAAGTTAGATATCCTAAATATGAAATTCATCCCCAAGCTATTTACACTAGTCGCTTAATAAATACTCAGCAAATCACTCAATTATTAAAGTGTGGTTCGCAAGACTGAGAATTAGATATTAATAATTATTTAGACAAATCAAATAATAATAAATACTATTTTTTTACTCACTGTTACTACTATTATTCTTTTTTTTTCTTTGCGCGCACACTAGTGCTAATGCTGATCCATTTGTTGTCCAAAAGAAGTTTTTCAAAACTTTAATTACTTACCATTTTAATGAAAGTAACGATGTTAATATTAATTGTATGTAAATGCATGTTAATAATGTTATCGTTGGCCCATGTATGCTCACTCTAACATATGTTCACATAATATCTGTTTTTAAAAGTTTTTTCCATATCCGGTTTAAAGCAAATTGTGGCTTATCGTTATTTTTGAGCCTGTGTAATTTTTTCTGAAATTTATTCTCCAAAAATTTATTGCTTACCCACTACTGTCTTATTTTTATTTACTTGTCATTATGAGCTCCATGTTAATCACTTTCTTATTCATTAAAAACATTAAAATAAACAACAAAACAATAGAAGGAAGTGGTGTGTACCTCGAAGATGACAAACTAAAACAGATAATGTTCAAGGGATTCATGGGTCCAGATTCGTTGGTATCAGAATTTGACAAAGATACAATCATTCAAACAACTGGAAGGTTCATAGTGGAAAATGGCAAGGAATACATGTGTATAAAACAAACAATATTGATGTTAATAAATAAAAAATTGTAAGACTCTGTTGAGTGTTATAGACGAGTACGCTAGACTTGAGACGATTAATCAAAATGGTTGAAACAAATTGTAATGAAAAAGATCTTAGTTTTTTATCTTTGATCCATCCCTGAAATGAGCAATCGCTGTTTAAATCACCATGTTCTTTCTTTCTTCTCTGTTGTTTGCCAATTGTTGTTTTCTCTGTCATTCAGTCAGCCATTTTCATTTATTTTGTATTTTTATTTATTATGTATATATATACAAAAAAAAATTTAATTGACGATCCGCGAATTGTCGATTAATTTGAAAAAAAACTACAGTACACCAAAATTTTTAGAATAAAAGAAAAACCATTGCAAGTTTTAAATCTTTATACACTCACCTACAATAAAATATCCGACCATCTGACGATCATTTTAATAATTGGGAAACTTATACCTCACGCAATTCAAAATTTTATTAATCAAACCGGGACTGGTGCATTAAGTAAACATGTTTTTAAAGTCAATTTGAATATAAACTTA